TTTGGGGTGATTTTGGGGGTGTTTCGGGGGAAGATGAACCCCTCCTGCATCCCTGCACAATTCCTGGTTCCTGTGCAGCCACAGGGATGGGAGGGAGAGCAGAGCAGAGCCAGGATCTGGCCCCCATTCCCTTGTGCAAGGTGGATGGAGGGCAGGAGAGCAGCAGGAAAGCCGCTGGAAGCAGCTCCAAGGTGGGGAGAGAGGGAGGAAATCAAACCCCTGACCAGCCACAAGCCTCCCCCATCGCTTGGGGCTGTGGGAAAAGGTGGGGTTGGCAACAGGGGAGGCTTTTGTGGGATTGAGGAGCTTTGGGAGACATTTGAACATTGAAACACAACCCAACAGAGCCAGGACGGGGATGTGCAGCTTCTCCCGGGCCAAGTCACCCCGGTCCCACCCACAGCCCCTCTCCCCACCCTCCCAAAACCACTTCTGCGCCACTAAATTGTCTCTAATGAGCTCCCATTTCTTCCCAGACGTCGTTTTCCCTCATTAAACCCATTTGAAAACAGTTGTGAAGCTCTTTAGGCATCATCCCCACGCAAACAGGAGCTGCTGAACCCGCTGCTCGGGGCGGTGATTGCTCTGCGGGGGGGGCTCGTTTTCTCCAGGCATTTTGGGTTTAGGGGACACTTGATCAACCCTGGGGCTTTCTGGAAGCATTTCTCGCTGGTTCATTCAGCCCTGCTGGTGGCTGCATCCCAGATTTCGGGGATTTTGAAGGTGGAAAGGGGAAAAACTGCCGAACACCCCAAGTTTTTTAGCCTGGGGGTGCCCAGGTGATGGAGCAGCTTCGGGTTGGGGCTGCAAAACCTGAAGTTGCTCAGCCCGAACCCCCACAAAGTTTGACTCGCAGCACCAGTAACGGGATTTTGGAGGGTCAAGGGTGGTGTTTGTGGCCCGTCTTTGTCCCAAACACCGACAGATCCTGCAGGAGCAGCCGGATCCAGGTGTCCTGTGCATCCTTGGTCCCCAGGGATGTGAAGCCCTGGGCTCTGCGGGGCCACTTGGAGCAGCTGGAGGGCTTTGACAGTTGTTTTAAAAAGAATTTCACTCAGCAAAAAGATGTTCCCAGAGCCTTTCACGGGATCAAGACCTTCCAATCAGACTATCAAACCACGTGGGTGTTGAGCTATTTGGTATCTTAGCCTTAATCAGAGGTGACAACAGCCCAAGCACAGCAGCTACAGGGAAGGATTTTCAGTCACAACATTCACTGTGCAAACCCCAAAAAGTTGATCCAAAACCAGAGACAGTCAGGTTTTTATTCAGAGGCCGACTGACAGCTCTGCTCGGGGTTCAACACTTTCCCACCAGAATCCAAACTGGATCTTTTGTTGGGGTATCAAGCTCAGTACTTCCACTTATGGAGACAGATGAAGAGATGTCGTGTGCATTTATCCTCAATCTTTGTCTTCAGGGAGGACAGTGAGGGGTGAGAGGAACGAAGCACAAACGCAAGAAAACGAACTGGCTCTATAAAACAGCCTATGGGGAAAAATGTAGTGCCACGAGTAGAGCTGAATAACCAGCCCGTGCTGAAAACTCTGGGTCCGAACAATAAAACCAGCAAATATTAATTGTGTGCATAATATTGATCCTTTCATCCTATAAAATCCTAAAGCCCCTCACAAGCACTAGGCACAGGAATCCATGGAACTCCACCAGGGACCTGCCAGGACCCCCGGTGTGACAAACTGAGAAAATGATTCGGGCTAATTAAGAGAAAACAGTGTAAGGTCAATATGACCCAGACAGAGAAAAGAAAAACAAATTGTAAAACTTAATTGGGCCTCTATAAAGAGATAAAACAAGTTACCTCCCTTTAACCTTGTGTAAGATTTATAGTGAAGGAATTCTGTTTAGTTAGCCAGATAATAGCACCTTTCTTAAAAATTTATAACTTTGTATAGATAACAAGCAAACATCTGCTGAATGTCTGACTTAACCATATGTAATGTTTAGGCTTACGTATAATGAATATTCATGAATTAGTTAGAAATAAATGTAGAACAACTGTCTTCTTTGGGTGTGACAGGCGCTGGGAGTTGTTGAACCCCCTCCCTGATCACCCAGCGCTGAATTTGCTTTTATCATATAATAAATTCCAATTGGAAATCACCCGACTGGGTTTCTGTTTCTCACACCCGGGAACGCTCAGGAGCTCTCTCCAGGCTGCCGTCAGAGGGAGGGTCTGCAGGGCACGGGGTCGAGCCCCCCCAAAATGAGAGGAGGGGGCCGAGCCCAGCGGGCAGCAGGGGTGGGTTTGCCAGGGCATTCCTGGGATGGGGGAGACCCCCCCACAGCCCCCCTCGTGCCCCTCAGACCTTCCAATCCTTCCCCACAGACGCCCCGAACGGCCCCGGGGACCCGGAACGGCCCCTCCGGGGGAGCCACGTGCGATCTCCCGCCACACCCCCGGACACGCCCCCCATGGGCGGGGCCGCGGCCGCCGCCAACCCTACATGGCGCTGGTGGGCGGGGCCGAGGCTGTGCCGCGCTGGCATTGGCGGGGCGGGGCCGAAGGGGCGTGGTCAGAAGGGGGCGTGGTCAGAGGGGGCGGGGCGAGACCCGCCGGTTCCCGTCAAAAGGCGGCACCGGGAAGGTGGGGGGGGGGCGGCGGCGCCGGGAGCGAAGGTACCGGGGAGGGGGCACCGGGAGAGCTGGGGGGGGGGGGGGGGCGGCGGCGCCGGGAGCGAAGGTACCGGGGAGGGGGCACCGGGAGAGCTGGTCCGGGGCAAACCCCCGCTCCGTGCCCGGTCTCGGCGGCCGCCGTGGCTCGGGCGGTCACCGGGACACGAGGGGCGGCTGTTCCTGCTCGAACCGGGGGGACCTGGGTGGGCGCGGGTGGCACCGGGAGCGGGAGATCTGGGTGAGGGGGGCCGTGGGTGCCCCCCCGTGATCGAGGGGACACGGGCACGGGGCACTCCCGGGTCCCGCTGTCCTTCTCCCTCCCGGTTGGAGAGTCCCGGGCCGTGCCCCGAGGTTTGGGGGTCCCGGGAAAGGGATACGGGGGGTGCGCGGGGCTGCCCCGAGGTTTGGGGGTGCCGGGGGAGTGTTGCGCCTCCCCGGCGAGCTCCGTGTGCTCCCTGGTTTGGGGTCCCACGTGGGTGCGGGGTTCCCGCTGTTCCCCAGCCGGGTTTGGGGGGTCCTGTGTGTGTTTGAGCCCCCCCGGTGCTCCGTGTCAGGGGCTCGGGGGTCCCGTGTGAGACCCCCTCCTGCCCACTGCCTCCCCTCGGCTGGAGGCTCTCAGGGCTGTTGAGGGCTTTCCCTGCCCAAAAGGGGATCCCCAGGAGGGTTGGGGGTGTCTCTGTCCCTCTCAGCCTCTCTGTGGCTTCCGGGGGTGGCTCCTGGTTTTGGGGTCCCCAGAGAGCTGTCCGGGCTCAGCTCTGACCACCCTTTGCTGGGCCCAGAAATGAGGGTTCACCCTGGAGATTTGGGGTGCCCTGGGGTGGGGGGTGAGTGTGTTGGGGGTGCTTTCCTTTCCCCCCTAAATTCTGGCTGGCTTTACCCTTTCCGGGCTGGCTGGTGATTCCCTCTGGGGTCGGGGTGAGGATGGGGATGAACTGGACCCACTCACACCCCCCACGTTGGCTTGAACCCCCATTTCTCCCTCTGGGGTCGGGGTGAGGATGGGGATGAACTGGACCCACTCACACCCCCCACGTTGGCTTGAACCCCCATTTCCCCCTCTGAGCCCCTTCCTGAGCATCACCACATCATGGGAAGCCACCCCTGTCCCCCTCCCCACGTCCCCTCCCTGCGTGTCCCCTTTTTGGGGGGCTCTGAAGCTTGTGAATCCCCTGGGTGCTGTTGGGGTGTTAACTGGTGGCTTAGGGTTTCCAGCCTGTTCCTTACCTGCTCTCTGACTCAGAGAAGTGCCCAATTAATGATCAGCTTTCAATGCACGTTAAAATTAACCTCCCAATTCAGTATTTTTTGGGGCAGACTGGGGGGGCTGAGACCCCGCAGTGGCACTAATTGTACTGTTTGTAATTCCCCAGTGACTTTCCATCCGTTGGAGGTGGGACTGCCTGGATCAGTGAGTTCCCAGCACAAAGAAGACAAAGGTATGGGGTGGGGGGGGTCTTCCTGAAGCTCCTACATGAGGACCTGGGGGTCCTTCCCTGGGACCTTTGGGGAGTTGTAGGGGGCTGGTGAAGGGCAGGTAGAGTGGCTGTTTTCTGGGCTGAGCTGCTCCTTCCTCTCGCTTTCCTTCTCCCCCCCCCTTTTTTCATTTGAGCCCTTCAGCAGTAAAAGTTTCTTCAGAAAGTGGTTTTCAGGAGAAGCAGCGTTTTTGTGGCGTGTCCTCCTCCCACAGAGCCTGGGCAGTGACTCATCTTCCTCAGAGCTCTGGGTTAAAGGAGCACCAGCCATGTCGGGGACACGTGTGTCTCCTCTCAGGGGAGACAGACAGACAGACAGACACCTCAGTGTCCTGTTCCTCTTCCTCGGTGCTTCCTCCACGGTGCTCTGGGCTCTTGAGGGGCCTCTGTGATGGCTGGGAGGAATTTTTAACCTGCTCTGGGGGGGAAGGAAGTCGAGGCTGTAATTACTCATTTGAATAAAACCTCTTCTGCCTTCCCTGAAGATGTTAAAACTGAGTTAAACCAGGCCTGGGGGGGGGTTAAAACCGAGTTTAGTTGGGTCTTCTTGTTGTGCTCGTGGAAGTGGGTTTAACTGGGGGGAGAGAGGGGGGGAAAAAGTGCCAGGCTGAGGTTGGGCAGCTCTGTGCTGGCACGGCACGGCTTGGCCAGCCACCCCTGTGGCACCAGGGACCCGAGGAAGAGGAGAGAGGAAGGCCTGGCGGGTGCAGGAAGTCTCTGTCCTGCCTGCCCGGGGTCTCCCAGGGTGTGAACAGATCACTTGGGGGATCTCCCGGCGGACAAAGGCACAAAAAATAGGTTTTTCACCAGGCCAAGGATGTGCCTCGGGTCGGTTGGGTGTTTGTTCTTTCCCCCCCATCCCACTTAAGGCAAAATAACTGGATAATCCAGCCTCTTCCTCCCTTTAATAACTAACCCTGGCGAGGTGCTGCCCCTCGCTCTCCGTGGGCAGAGGTGCCCTCAGCAGTAATTTTTAACCTCCTGTGGCTGAGCCAAAGCAGAGCCAGCCCGGCCCAAACTTTCTATGGCTTGGGGAGGGGAAATGCTGGAATGGAGGGAAAAATCCCAGTTAAAGGGGGTCTGTCTGAGGGGAAAGGTGACACATCTTCACCTGCTTGTGCCGAGGGAGCAAACATGGGATGCTTGTCCCCTGTGCTGGGGAGGAGAGGCAGTGGTGTGGACTCACAGCAGTTTTGTAAAGCTTGGGATTAAAACATGACACACACACACACTCCAAAAAAAATGAGAGAAATGCGAATGCAGCCACTGCTTAAAATGAATATTTTGACCTACAATCGACTGCTGAGCATTAAGGTGTTGGTTCTGTGTATAAATTAATGTATTTATTAATATAATTAATAATTTTATATAAAGTGTTTATTAATAAATTAACATAAATTTATTTATCAATATAATTAATCAATTTATATAAATTCGTTTATTAATACAAATCATAAATTAATATTCATTCCTAGAAATAAATTAATATAAATGAATAAACTAATGTGCTGGTTCTGTGTATAAAATAATATATTTATTGATATAATTGATAAATTAATAAAATATTTATTTGTATAATTAATACATTAATATAGATTTATTGATATAATTACTAAATTAATATAAGGTCATAAGAATAATATAAAATAATATAAATTGATACATTAATATAGATTTATTAATATAAACACTAAATTAATATGGGGTCATAAGAATAATATAAAATAATATAAATTAATGTGTTAATTCTGCGTATAAATAATGTGTAAACCCCTCTGGGGGGAGTCCCTCTGGTTTGGGCTTTTTGAGTTGTATTTTGGCTCTGGAGGGACAACTGGAGGCCCAGCTGAAAACGGACTTGGAGAAGCTCCTTGTCACAGGTCCCTTCCAGCTGAGCCGTTCTATCTAAACATGAAAACTCCCTTTTTTTTTTGGACAAGAGCCGTGTGCTGGTGCCTGGGGGGCAGCCCCAGCTCGTGCTGCCGGGGCTGGTGGAGGGAATGGTTCAAACCAAGGTGTGAGGGGAGCAAAAGTCCAGGGAGATGGGGAAGGTGGAGACTCTGAGGCTTTAAAGTGGAGCTTCTCGGGGGTGACCCGAGGGAGGAGAAGCCGTGGCTGGGGGGAATGGGCCAGGAGAGCTCAGTGTGGGGCAACAGGGCATTCCCAGCACCCCTGACCAGCTTCCAGCTCCATCTCCAGCTGCTGACTCAGCTGCTCCTCAGGTGCAGCTCCCTTATCTGCGCTGGTTAACGGCGGTATCAGCACAAACCTCGCCTCGTGCCAGCCGGGCTTTGCCTCTAATTCATGGAAACGGGGTGTAAAAGTGATGAAAAGCAGTTCTTGGGACCTTTATCTGTCCATCTGAAGCCGTTTCCTCATTGCCAGGAATCCATGGTGTCTGCCCAGGACCTGCTGACGTGACTCCTGAGCTCTGCGGGTCGCCGGGACGCCGGTGAGTGACTCTCCCGTGCTGGGAGTCCTCGTGCCTTCCTGCCCTTTCTCCCGAGGGGTTTTTGCTGCTTTCCCGAGGGTTCCCACACCAGAGCCCGTGTTCTCCCGTGCTGTTGCCTTTTCACCCCGTCTGGGAATGCCATCCCGCTCCCGTGCAGGTGCTGCCCCGATTTCTCAATGCCAGGCTGCCCCACAGGCCAGCTCCTGCTTCCCCAGTGCTCCCACTGCTCCTCCCTGCTTGGGCAAGAAGCCTCCCACGACGGGCCAGCACGAGGCAAGGAGGGGGGTGACGGTTTCCTCGCCCACCAGGTGCCACCTCAGGTGGGTTCCCCGCCCACCAGGTGAGGGACGGGGGCTCTGGGGGGGTCTCTTAACCCTTCTGTGCCCTCCCCAGGGCTGGTGCTGACAGGGAGGGTTCCTCAGAAACGCTCCTGCTCGGGAGGCAGATAAGCTACAGTCGGGGCTATATTTAGACTTGCTTAGTTCTGCAGAACGTGCCGTGTCCTTGAGCTCACCTGGGCGTCCCCAGAGGGGACAGCGAGTCCCGGCTGCCACGTGGTGCCCTGGGAAACACCAGCTGGGGAGCGCCTGCCTCCCTCCACGTGCCCCTTGTGCCCCCTTGGCCTGGAGGTTTGGTTCAGCTCAGTGTTATTTGTCGCCAGGTAAAGGGATTGTTGTTGTTGTTTCCGTAGCCCGGCTTAGGCTGAATGTGAAGTTGCTGCCCAGTTCCCAGTCCTGAGCTTAAATCTCTGGTTTGGGAGCTCTTCCCTGAGGAGGAGAGCCCTCCTCAACACAGTTTTCCTGGTGGGTTGCTTTCCTTCCTGTTTTCTCCTGGTACTGTGGTGCAGGCAGCTCCTGTCCCCACCTCTGCCTGTGCTCCAAGGAGAGTCCATCCCTTCCCGAGGTTCTGCACTGCCTGCTTGGACACTCAGGGAGTTCCATGGCCTGGTCAGTGTTGGACAGAGCAGGAGAAACCTGGGTTTGTGTTCTACTGCTGCCCAGGGTGGCCTCTAGCACCGTCCTCCTTGTTGCATATAAAGGACAGGGCACAAAAATTGATGTTTTGGCCCCGTTTGATGCTTGAACTATGAACTCTCAGGGTGGGCCTGGGGTTTCTTGCACACCCAGGGGCTTCTGCGGTGCCAGAAATGCTTCCTGCTGCTCGTTTCACCTGTCACAAGTGGTGGAACTTCAAACCACTGAAATCTCTTGTGACAAAGTGTCTGTGGCTGGTGGTGTGACCTCGGCTGCACGAACTTAAGGGAGAGGATGGGAGGTGGGATCTGAGGGATTTGGGTGCCCAAATCCAGGAGTGATGCGAGACCCACTGGTAGGAAGGGGTGAGCAGCTCAGGGCTGGTGCTTTGCAGCCCCCTCTGCTCGCAGACCCCTGAGTCAGAGCACGGAAAACACCTTTTCTGTGTCTTCCTGCAGCCCAGGCTGAGCACTGTGTGCTCCAGGGCTGGAGTGGGATTGCTGCAGGGCTGGAGTGGGATTGCTGCAGGGCTGGAGTGGGATTGCTGCAGGGCTGGAGTGGGATTGCTGCAGGGCTGGAGTGGGATTGCTGCAGGGCTGGAGTGGGA